ATTGTCTTTTTGATTGACGTTACAGGCGTCAGGATCGACAATGTTAGCGTTACACGCGCTCACATTGCGGTTTTCCGGAGAAAGGTCCATTATAGATGGACCTGGCAACGCCGCATCCCGTACGTACTGGGAGCGGGAGCGAGATCGACGATTAAAGCTCCGGGACGACTCGGGGGAGTTTGAGCCGCTGCGCCGTGAAAAACGGCGTCGGCGATCCGTACGAATGCGCTCACTCACAACTGAAGAGGACCTTGACCTCGAAATCAGGTTGCGTCGGCCGGGCGCCCCCTGCCTACGTCTCGGACTGCGATCGCGCCTCGGGCTCTTGCTTCTAGTTGGGCCCCTCGATCGTGTGCGAATATATGATCGAGACCGTCGCAAATTGTCCATCTCTTTTTTCAGCTTTTTATATTTTTTGAATAAGTACCGAACATTCTCCTTGTCCTTGTCAGGGCTGCATGAGGGACTTCTGGCCCTCTTCGTTTTGCCCATTACTTCTGTAAGAGAATGATTAACCAGCTAACAGGAGCGTTTAGATTAAATTAATACTCTGTCTATAAAATAGAAGGTCGAATAATTATTATTAAATTATCGACCCGTTCTTTTCTTGTACGATATGAATTAACTAATATATTTAACTATAAACTTACATGTAATTTCGTGTCCAACGCAATAAATCACCTTAAATTTCACAAAACGAACCGTTGTACTCAAGCACAAGAAACATAATGAATAGGAACTGGCGATGACGCGGAGAGTGCGGCACGGCGTAGTTGCCATATTTCTTTCCTTCTTGGATTATCTTTGAACCTTGTTCTCGAGAAGTAGAAGAAACATGTACTACATGGTAAAAAATTATTGTAATATTGAGGACTGGACCTGAAATATAATTGAGCTACAGGATTAAAAAAAGTGTTTATGAAATACATTTATTAAAGGCTAATATCCCATGTTAATAATATAATTTATGGAAAACGTGTAATAAACGACAATACTGTTCGTCTATAAAACCATTACGAAAAATTGCATATAAACAAATAATATAAAATGATGTAATTAATTATTTAAATTCTTGAAATAGCAATCTGAAATAGACAGGAAGGTAAATTTCACCATAGCAGTACTGAAATCTAAAGGATAATCCGAAGTAGTTCTATATTATAGTAGATCATGTATGTTTATTATACGTATTCAAAAATTGTCGTTTATTATATACGTTTAAAAATAATACCATTACCAAAAATAAACGAATAAACATTTATTAAACTATTCGGCGTTGCTTGGGATGCCTGTATTGCTAAGACAAACTTTAACTTTGAAACTTTTGCAGCAATTTTCAAAAATTTTATTTTTTGATCTTAATTCACTTTTTTGAAGCCATCCATAGTTCACAGCGGTCTAAAATTAGTTTTTCATTATTCTACGTCCCCGAAATATATAGACTAGAATATAATCATGCTTGTCTACTCCGAATCAAAATTACTATTAAAAAATTGGCCGCCATTTTGGAAAAATGGCGATTTTTTTCAGTCCCAATGAGAAAAATCGATGGGTCCTCGACTCAAATCGATTAGAATGATCTACTTAGCAACTCTGCCAAATTTCATGCTTGTATCATCAAATGGCGTTTTTTTTCGCTAAGCAACCGTACTAAAAGAGATAACACTACAGCTTATAATATTTAAAATATTCGAGCCTCATCAGGAAGCGGGGGAAGAAATGGATGAAGTATCATTTTCGATAAGCATTATTATTAGGCTGCTTTCATCTTCTTTACAGAAACTTACCCCCTCTGTAAGCCAAATAGCCGTATCTATAGATATAAAAGAGCTTGTCCTGACTGATTATCAACGCCCAGCCAAAACTATTTAAGTTAGAGACATGAAATTTCCAGGATATGCTCTGTTACGTATTTGTAGGTGTGCTAAGAAAGGATTTTGAAAAATTTTAATTTTAAAGGGTTAAAAGCAATTTTTTTAAAAATTCACATTTTTTTAGTTTTCTCGGCTTCTAATTAAGATATCGAATTCGTTTTTGTACTAAAATATTCTTTATATAAATACCTAAAAACAAATTCATGCTTTTTTTGAAATTCAAAGTGGAAGGGGCAAAAAAGGTTACACAAAAAATTTCGTTACAAATTCATTTAAGCAGTCATAACTTGATAATAAAATAAGATATCGACGCCATTCTTTTTCTGAAATACTTCTGAGATGAATATCTAAAAACTAATTTCACAGTTTTACGAAATTTGGCTTCAATCGGATTTTAGCTCGCCAAATATGTGAAACATGTCTACACTACACGTAACAACTTCGCTGTTTAAAATTAAATTTTTGCAAAATCCTTTCATAGCAGAACCAACTAGCGACTTAAATACATAAATCCTTTCATGGCACAACCAAAGATATTGGCACAACAACCAACAAGCGTACATACATAACATTGCACGTCTAACTGTTACCAGTTAAATCAAAACGCTCCAATACCAGCCTATATTATAAAAACAGTCTGTGACAGATGACAGGTACCGGTCGACAAAATCAGAAATGAACTGATTTTCTTGTGTTATTTTTACTTACTTATGCACGGTATTCAGATTTATTTTAGTAATTAATATTTTGATTATGTTAGACAATTTGTTAAACTATCTATAAAGTTCAAGTGCTGGTGTTGTGAAACATGGTGGTGGAAAATATTGAGGTAAATGGTAATGTCATACTGTAACATTTTCAATTTATTGGCTAATAAGCTACCTTGTTTTGCTTTAGTAGATATGATTCCATATAGAACTACAATGAAATAAATGAATAAACAACTATCTTTTTTGTGCCCAGATTTTGTTACCTTGATTACTGCCTTCTACTGAAAGTTTTTTTGTGCAGGTTTGCAAGTTTTGACAGGGCCCGCTGTTATTGATTAGAATCTTAGGAAAAGGAGAGATTTTTTCATCATCTCTGTTTGCAAATCTAATTGATAAATAAATAATCTGAGGTTATGATAATAATTGTTGTTTACTTTTTGATTTTTTATTTCCATCATGTCATTGAACAGCTGTTTTGTCTAGGCGTTTTCTTTAGACCTGTTCTACCTTTTGATATATGTTCTATATGCACTTTTCAACATTCACCAGTCATTTTTTACACAACCGATTCTCAGTTCGTACTTTTGGGGTGAAACTGAACACGTCCTTTTCTATAATTTTCTTCAATGTCAAAATTAGAAGTTTGACAGATGAAAGTCTTCTTCCGAAATCTAAATTCTAAATGAAGAATCTGCCCTTTTGATCTGCGACCTCACGCTGAGTAGTCGTCCGGTTTCGGGCCTCGGCCCTAATTGTTTTTGGGGCGAGACTTTTTGGAATTTTGTGCCAGGGAGCTCAAGTAGACTAATTTCTTGCTGATGGTTGTCTAGAGTCGTCCCTTGGTCATTTTTGGATTCTGTTTCGGTAAGTTTGAGATTTTCTTCAGGAAATATTAACCTACAACACGTGTTCAATTTTTTTTTAATAGGACTGTTTCGAGCAGCATTTGGAAGTTTAAGACTTCACCTTTGGTCTAGAGTATCCCTCAATTTGAGGTAAGATTATTTTCAATATTTGGGGCTCGATTTGTTTTTTTATACGAACATCGTTATAGGGTCCTAGTCTCAGGCTATAGTTGGACAATCCTAGTCTCAGGCTATAGTTGGACAATCCTACTCCTACTCTTAGGCTATAGTTGGACAATCCTACTCTTAGGCTATAGTTGGACAATCCTAGTCTCAGGCTATAGTTGGACAATCCTAGTCTCAGACTATAGTTGGACAGTTGCTAAGCTGTATTTAGAGAGATTCTAGACTGGATCTAGATTGCTCTCAGTTGGGGCTTTGGTAGCCATTCTTCAGCAACTCTCTTGGTGCCACTCTGGCAGAACCACGTCGAGTTCTACGTTGAACGGATACAACGTGGATAAGACTCATGACTCACTTACCATACCTTAGCCTATCTATAGTGAGACCAAACCTGTAGATAATCTCACTTTGGAAACTTCTGGATTTTCACATACATTTCACTTGTATACATGTAAGTTGCACCTTTACTATTTAGGCAAATCTTATATAAATCATCTGACACCGAATTACGTCGGTAAGTGCCCCTTAAATAAAATTCTAGAATTTTACCCTGAGGTTGCCCTAACAATAACTTTCATCTTTCTGTGTTTAATTTGCCTATTGGTAAAGTGTAACCCATACTGTAGTTTTCTTATCACTCACAAGTGTAAATACCAAAAGGTTTTTAGTCATGTTTACTTAAAATTCATATTTATATATGCGTTATTTACATTAATTTTTTATAATCAAATATTTATAAATTGGTACAAGCCATAATGATGTCCTGGCCATCCCTATTCATTATTGTTATTATTTTTTAATAAAGAAGCCAGATACATTATTGTACCTAATTAGTTGTTTTATTGATAAGCTCTCCAATTGCACAGGTTTTGTTTAAACATCATTAGGTTATCTTCCTAGTTAAGTCACAATTAACTTGGTGGCGCCCAAAGGTAAGATGTATACAAGGAACCCATAGACCCATGGCCTCCGGACTGATGCTGACTAGCCGTATGCAGTATAATTAGGCAATTGCCAAAATAAGTCGTTCCGATTCATGGCGATAGCGCCTGCCTCTTTCGGTCTATTTCATATGTATTATACGGTACTCAAGTGATGTGCACGGAATTGCGAGAAACAATCGTAAGATATGTTGCTGAAAATTGGGGAGAGTACCATATTTATAGTCACGATGCTGGAGGCGATAATCATTCGAGTGTGTCAGAGTATGTCCGGGATATGTCACGTCTGTCAACTTACGGTGGAACTTGTGAATTAATAGCTGCCGCAAATATTTTTCCTTTAGTATTCGAAGTCTTTCGTGTGATACGCGAAATTCGGAGGAGAAAATTTGACAGTGGCCATATTACGTTTTACTGGCGATCTTCGCGGTGGCCACTTCGACGTATATGAGCCTATATAAGTTCGTCGGAGCCAACATCAATATCCCAAAACTAAAAAACCTCGAGCAAGATATACGAGTTACACGCGAGACAAACAAATCAAAAAAGCTGCCACCAAGCTTAGAAATCAAAATCCTGAAAGTCACAGAGCAGCAGCTGCTAGATATCAAAAAGGTAACCCAGAACTGCACAACTCAAAAGCAATACGAAACTAACCATCCAGGGATACGGTCAGAACGTCGCTTGCGCCCATGGACGAAAAAAGTGCTCTCTGGATTAGAATATGATCCTGGCATTGCTTATGAACATTATATTAGTGCTATGAACCTGAAATGTCAGCGCTGCAATGCACTAAAATGGAAAGGTGAAGCGCCTGGTATGTGCTGCAGTTCCGGCAAAGTACAGCTTACTGCGATCCAACGTCCACCCGAGCCGTTACATAGTCTACTCATGGGAGATCATTCCGACCACACTCATTTTATTGATAGAGTACGTCAATATAACGGCTGTTTTCAAATGACGTCCTTCGGAGCTAAACAAATTGTTGAAGACGGGTTCATGCCGACTTTTAAAGTGCAAGGACAAGTTTATCACCTGCACGGAAGCCTCCTGCCCGAGTCAGAGCGTAATGCTCAATTTTTGCAAATTCATTTTGTCAGCGAAGACGAGAAAGAAGCGAGTATTAGGTGTTCCAACTACCCCGGTGTTAAACTTGAGCTTGTGCATCTGCTTCAGAAAATGCTTCATAATAATAACAGGTACATCAAGGACTTCAATACAACCATAGACAAAATTCGTCCAAATGTCGAAAGCTTTCAAGTTGTAATCCATGCCGATAGAATGCCAGCTGACGGTCACCGTCGTCTCTATAACGCTCCGACAGCAAGCGAAGTTGGTCTGGTGATAGTGGGACAGCAATTTGAAAAACGTGATATTATTATTCACAGTCATGGCAATCGATTACAATGCATCAGTGAATTTCATCGATCATATGACGCTCTGCAATATCCTTTAATCTTCTGTCACGGCGATGATGGCTACTCGATAGACATAAAGCAATGCGATCCATTAACGAAATGTCTATTGAACAAAACCGTCTCCGCAGCAATGCCTATCGAATTATGATACGCGAAGCAGAAGAAAACTATTTTCTCTTCGAATATTAAATAATACATTCATTCTTGCTCGATATTAAACTGATTAATGATATGGATTCTACACGCCCCGTGGACTCCAAACCGGAATTCACGGCCTGTCGACCAATCAAATTTTCCATATTTTCGGAATACACAGGCCGCAACGAGACAATACAAACAAAACATGATTGACATCTGCTGTCAGATCACGAATCTTTCAATTCAAAAGAATTAAGGCGGGTTTAGACTTTTAATGATTGTTATTTCTTACAAAAACTGATGATTTTCTTTCAAAAAGTTCGAAGAGAAAGTATAGTCTTCTACTCGCAAATAATGGCTATTATTCACTCGAATGATTCCAACACTCCAACAATAGCCATCATTATATGCTGGTTGAAGAATATACTATACTCCGATATGGTTCATTATTCAACCAATATTTGGTTGACATGTACGCAAAAATCGAGACTGAAAAGTTAAATTTCTTGAGGCTCAATCAAAAGCAGCTCAGATTCGACAACTACATTCATCTTAAAGATGCCATCGGACGGCAAGATGTTCAAGCTGATCAACTTGGTAGAATGGTAGTACTGCCGTCATCATTTACTGGAGGTCCTCGATATATGCACGAACGAGCTCAAGATGGAATGACGTACGTTCGTCACTAGGGAAGCTCAGATTTATTCGTCACCTTCACATGTAATCCTAATTGGAAAGAAATCCAAGAAACACTTTTACCCGGACAGAAGCATTATCATCGCCCTGACCTAATTGCGAGAGTATTGGAACGTAAAGTCAAAGAATCTTTTGATCAAAGCCCAATTATTCGGCAAAGTGAGGTGTTACATGCTGTCAGTGGAATGGCAAAAAAGAGGATTGCCACATGTTCACATTCTGCTGTGGTTAGAAAATCGCATATCTCCCAATATGATTCATAAATTTGTCTGCGCGGAAATTCCAGATGCATCTTCTGATCCACTACTATACGAGATTGTTAAAGCCAATATGATACACGGGCCATGCGGTAGCTTAAACACAAATTCTCCGTGCATGAAAGATGGAAAATGCCCAAAAAATTATCCTGCTAGGCTGCTACAGGAAACTCAAAGAGGCGAAGACGGATATCCCAAGAGGATACTTCCGATGACGGAGGTTTCACTGTTGATATAAAAAGCATGAACTTGGACAATAGATGGGTGGTTCCTTATAATCCTGTATTATTACGCACTTTCAATGCACATATCAACGTTGAAATAACCAGTTCTGTAAAGTCTATTAAATATATTTGTAAGTATATCACCAAGAGCGACGATCAGGCGGCCTTCGCGTTGGAAAACAAAGAACAGATAGATGAAATAGAGATGTATGAAAACGGTCGATACCTTAGCAGTTCTGAAGCTGTATGGAGAATTCTCTGTTTTTCAGTTCACGAACGATATCCAACTGTCACACATCTTGACGTTCATCTTGAGAATGGACAACGAGTATACTTTACTGAAAATAATATTGCAGATAAACTGACTATACCACCTACTACAACGCTTTTGGCATTTTTCGAATTATGCCAGGTGGATAACTTTGCAAAAACGCTCTTATACGCTGAAGTTCCTTCATACTACGTATGGCAGAATAAAAGATTTATTCGGCGGAAGCGTGGAGAGGATGTAGAAGGTTGGCCTGGAGTGAAGAAAGATTCAGCATTAGGAAGAGTATATACTATCCATCCAAATAACATCGAATGTTTCTATCTTCGGCTTCTACTACATCATATGCGAGGACCAACATCTTATTCATATCTGAAAACAGTGGATAATATATTGCACCATACTTTTCAAAGTGCATGCAAAGCTCTTGGACTGCTTGAAGATGATAAGCAATGGGATTCAACTCTAGGCGAGGCGGCTATGAGTCGGTCTCTTTTCAAATTACGGGAGCTTTTTTCAATTATGTTAATCTTTTGTCATCTAGCTGATGCAATCGGCCTCTGGGAAAAATATAAAGATAGTTTGGCTGAAGATCTCAAATATCAGATGAGTAGACATTTGGATTTTGGTGTGCAACCAGCAATGAACGAGATCTATAATAGATGCATGGTCATGAAGAAAATACTGTGCTTTCCCTTGGTGGTAAAAACTTACAAGAATATGGTTTGCCACAGCCAAATAGATCTGAGGACGTTGTACAAAATCGTGAGTACATGGCAGAGACTAATTACAACCTAGATAAGCTGCGAGAAACTGTTTCTGTCGGCGAAGCTTCATTAACGGACGAGCAACGTATGGTCTGCCAAGAGGTCGTTAACAGCGTACGATCGAGTTCTGGAAAAATGTTTTTTCTAGATGCTCCAGGTAGAACCGGCAAAACTTTTCTCATCAACTGTCTTTTGGCAAAAGTAAGATTGGAATGAATCGCTGTGGCAGCTGCATCTTCAGGCATTGCGGCAACACTGTTAGAAGGAGGGAAGACGGCGCATGCAGCCTTTAAATTACTCCTCAATCTCAATCATGTAGAGACCTCTATGTGTTACATCTCGAAACAAAGTAATATGGCTAAAGTTCTACAAGAATGCAAGCTAATTATTTGGGATGAGAGTCCAATGTCGCATAAAAGTGGTTTTGAAGCTCTCAATAACTCACTTAAGGACCTTCAAAATTCAAGCGATTTTATGGGAGGAGTAACGGCGCTTTTGGCTGGTGATTTTCGTCAAACTTTGCCTGTTGTATCCAGAGGAATGCGAGCAAATGAGGTCAAAGCATATATCAAAGCATCTTATCTTTGGCCTGAAACAACTAAACTCTCCCTTACTAAAAACATGCGAGTACACCTAAAAGGCTGTTGAAAATTGGAGCTGGAAACTGCATTGAATCAGAAGGCAAGATTACTATACCTACCGGTTTAGGTAAGGTAGTCACTTCATTAAAAGACCTTATAGCCGATATCTACCCTGACATTCAAAATATTACCAAAAAATCTATGGACTGGCTGTGTGAAAGAGCCATATTAACCCCTAAAAATGACACCGCAGCTGAAATCAATCATATATTGTTAAATTCTTTCAATGGTGAATCTATAGAGTTCAAATCTGTTGATTTAGTGCTACAAGATGATAATGCTGTTCACTATCCATCAGAGTTTCTCAACACCCTCAATCCTCCAGGTTTTCCAGCACATCAACTTATTTTGAAAATTGGAACATCGATAATGTTGTTACAGAATCTAAATCCTCCTAAGTTGTGTAATGGTACGAGGCTACGAGTGACTGCTATTCGGAAAAACATAATTGAGGCTACAGTAATAACCGGATGTGCCAGAGGAGAATCAGTTTTTATACCCCGCATACCACTAATGCCGTCAGACTATCCTTTTGAGTTTAAAAGAAGACAATTTCCAATAGGAGTTTGTTTTGCTATGACTATCAATAAATCTCAAGGGCAGTCATTGAAAGTAGCCGGAATTGATCTACGGGAAAATTGTTGTTCCCATGGCCCATTTTACGTTGCTTGCTCGCGAGTGAGTACTCCATCAATCTTGGTTATTTTAACACCAGATCGAAGGACTACTAATGTGGTATACAAAGAAGTCTTAACATGAATTAAGCAAATTAAATTTTTCATTTCAGTTGTGCAATGTGCATCCATTTTGTGCAATATTTAAACAATATAATTCCAGGAAATTTATAGAAAAACTTCACGATTCTATCATATACAGGGTATCCCATATAAGAATGCACTCTACAGGGATCTCGTAAACCGGAAGAGATACAAAGATGATTAAATTAGAAAAAAGTTGCGCCCTTCTAAAGCCTACAACATCTTGTTTTGAAATCTAAAAAAATCCGACTACCTCCGAAGATATTTCGAAAAAATCGATTTTTCCCGATTTCTTTTTTATACATATACTTAGCTGTCTAATCATCAATAATTATTAGACATAAGAAAATCCTCGTAAGTGCATTAAGTGTAATATGGTTTCCTGGGAATCCGTTCAGTAAGTAGCTCAGCGTCAGCAGCGTGTCCGAAACCATGTCAATCAGTCACCTCACCAACTGCACGGCATCAGCATTTAATATAAATTGTAAATAATAATAATATAATCAGCCAGGCCATTGAAGACGATTATACGAACACGCAGATTATGACTGGAGGGTGTCATTATCTGAACTGAGTAGGGTAATATCAAGAGGCATCCCCAGAAGTAATCGATGTTTGTTGTTGTCATCGAAAACAAACCATACTGCCAAAGCACTCTCAAGCACAAAATTTTTCATAGACACATACCATAGATAATACCTACACAGCCTAATAAGTTGAAAAATCGCGGGCGAAGCCGTGACGGGTAATGCTAATCTATTATAAGTACACTAAAAAATTGTTTTTCTTTTTGTTTGATCCAATTTTTCATAAAACCTCCTGTTGTTTGAACTTATTTTTGATCCATTATAGAAAAGATTTATAAAACTCCAAAATCTGCGGCGTCTCTCCCACCTTTCATCTATTTTTTATAGTTTCTGAGTAAAAGATTCAAATCACCGAAGTCTCGTGGACCACGATTAAAGGTGAAAAATTTTAAACTAAAACCAATTAGAAATGAAGTTAAGATTGCGGGTTTCGTGTAATTGCTTGTTAAACTAATTTTCCATTTCTGCTTCCACGTTTTTGCTAAAAGTAATAATTATTCTAATTGCAGTTTTATTAGATTTTCTCTATCTTGTTTTTGCTTTTAATTATTTCTAATTGGATTGAATTGAATCGGGCAAAATAATTTGTAAATATGAAAAGCAAAAATATGTTCAGAATAGGAATAATTTCAAAAACTGAATTATTGAAAAAATAAACGATAAAACTTTCATTGAATCTGCAATTCTAGACAGACAAAATGGTCTTTTGAACTCATAAAAAGAAAGCAATCAAACCGCTGCCTATGGCGAATAATTGGTTGTCTGAAAGGAACCTCTTTCATTTCTTTCCCTTTTTCATGGCTTTTTAGTTTTATGTTAACTGTAAGGGAAATTAGAGGCTTCATTAACTTGATGTCACAAAAACTTTTATCGATAAAAATGTATTAGATTAAACAAATAATAGGAATCATACATCAAAGGATTTCACGATGCTCTTACTTCCATATTAGAGTACGAGAACCAAAAAAAAAAAAAATATAATTAACAAAAACAAAAAAATTAAATATTTGTCTAGAAAATTAAAAAAAAAAAATTGCCTCACAACAAATTTATTCTGGAAAAAGAAATTTCAGTATAAAGGCACAGACCATAGTAGAGCATCTCTAAGTTCAAAGTGTTTTTGGTTTGCATAATGGAAAACTACGGGATCGTGCAAATAAAAAGCACCTACCCACTAGAATGTAGAGTAAGAGTATGACGGTGTATTTTCAGGTATTATGATATTATAACTAGGTCGAATAATTTAAATTGAAAAGAAAATTTGATGTCTTGCAAGAAAATGTAAATCAATCAAATTTGTACACATCTGGGTAAAGTTTATAATTTAGGTACCTAAGACTAATTAATTCCAACTTCCCAGTTTGTCTTGGAGGGTGAGCAAATATTCGCCTTATTAGCCTGAAATTTCGAAGGGTTGCGTTCAAAGCTTTTAACCCTCTGCCTTTGTTTAATATACATCTAATAGGCATTAACCCGAAAAATGATATGCTTAAGCCTGCTCGCGGCAAAAATTTGACCAAATTGGATCTGAAATTAGAGAGTCTCGTAATTTATTCACTAACAAAATCATTAAAGCTAACTCTGAAACTATAATGACGCTCACTTTAAAGGCCAAATTACACTCGCTAGAAATTGAGACTTTTATCGGCCCTGAAAGGCATCAAGTATAAAGTCTAACAATGACAGTGTGCAGCTTGCATTAGCATACATACGATGCTATCCAAGCAGCATTCATGAAGTAATATGACGCTTCCAACCTATATTTTGTGAATCGATAATATACTCAAGAACAAAAAAAAAAAGTAACACCACTATAAATATCCATATACAGGATGTTGCAATTTTTTTTTTGTTCTTCAGTATATAAAAAGTTTTTTTATTGAGACCACTGGCGGCAACTCGGCAAAAAGGTTATTTGCGCTTAATCTTCCCGCGGAAGATCTTGATAGTCTAAACCAATAAAAGAAAGAACAGCTTTAAAACATATTTGAATCTTGTCGGTTATGTTTTAAGATTTGGTGGGAATTACCACTTCTTGTTTGTAGTTTAACACCAAACCCATGGGCCATGGCGCGCACTCTATGGCTCAATTTTATATCGGTATGTAATATAAGTAGACAGCGGGAAACCGTACGGATGACCGTCACCAGACACGATTCTGCGCAAAACATTTCTGCGTAGAATCCGAAATTCGTATTCTGAGTGGTGTCGAAATTGGCGGACGGTTTTTCACGCGTTGGAAGCATGATGTCTTGTTTCGAAACCAGTAGCGCACCCAGAAAATATGTTTGGGGGGGGCCCTACATAGGTTGTGCCTTGTGACTGAAAATAAAAAAAAAAAATTGAGGAGTCAAAGTGCCACGTCCTGAATTTGTTACATTTTTTTATACGTGAAAATTCAGTTTGGGAGGGGCGACCTGGGGCTCTCCCCTGGGTGCGTCACTTTCCAGGAAATCTGGGAAACTTTGGAAAATGACGATTTTTTTTTCAAATATCCAGAAGACTTTGAGCTTTATCATACCAAAATTTGATTAGAAAAAAACCAAAGATAGCGGAGTCACGATTTTTTTAATCCCAGAGAGACACTAGTAATATTTTTACAATACATACTGTGGCCTGATTTTTGATCTTTTTCCTAAAAATCTAGGAAGCTTTGGAAAATGAAGATTTTTTTTAAATATCCAGAAGCTTTTTAGCTTCAACATATCAAAATTTGATAGGAAAAAACCAAGGATAGCGGAATTACGATTTTTCACTCCCAGAGAAGTGATATTTTTACAATACAGATTATAGCCTAATTTTTGATTTTTTCCTAGAAATCTCGGAAACTTTGGAAAATAAAGATTTTTTTAAAAATATCCAGAAGCTTTTTAGCTTAAACATACCAAAATTTGATTGGAAAAAAGCCAAAGATAGCGGATCTCCGATTTTTTAATCTCAAAGAGACACTAAGGCGGCATTCCGTATCTTAACCAGAGTTACCGATTGGTATGGAGCGGTTCGTCTATAGTGACAGTCTCGTTCCTGAGAATGCGGTTTATGTGTGGAACCGCGTTTCATAACCTAACAACCAGATTTCGGGAGTGGTTAGGTTACGGAACGGGAACCGGAAAAACCAAGAATCTTGGTTAACTTACGGAACGTCGCCTTAGTGATATTTTACGATACAGATTGTGGTCTAATTTTTGATTTTTTTTCCAGGAACAGAGGCGCACCCAGAAAATATGTTGGGGGGGGGGGGGGCTAAATAGGTTGTGGCTTGTGACTGAAAATCTGAAGAAAAAAAAATTGAGGTGTGGAATGTGCCACATGTTTTTATACCTAAAAATAAAGTTTTGGAGGGGCGGCCTGGGGAGGGCCTTGGACCGATGCCCCCCCCCCCCTGGGTGCGCCACTGTTCGAAACCATTCAGTATACAAATTTTTGGATTCTTCGTAGAAATTTTAGGTTTTGCGCAAACTCGTGACGGTTCATTGTAGGGTTTTATGCTGTGTTGGAAGAAAGGTTATAGCATACAATTGAAGCCATCCAGGCATTTTTAACATTAGATTCTTTAGTCAATGTGTAGCAAAAAAATGAAGTCGTGATCTCAAACTTTGAGACCACGACTCGGTGAACACAGGCCTATTGGAGCCATGAACTGTTTTTTCGAATTTATAAAT